ATCCAAGTTGTTTAAGAAGTTGGTTACAAAGAGCGAGAATCAAAGTTTCACTGATATCCGATTACCAGTTAAATTCTAAATAGGAAATCCCCACTGTCCTGTGGTAGATAAATGCCATCGGTAATAAAACTTCTTGATTTGCTAACAAATAATATTTTATTGCTTTTTTTCTGCCATAAAATGAACATGCACTCCAAGGTCACGTCATCATTTACACCTTGCCAGTACTGGATTTGACCCCCTTTCCCCTCAGAATTGCCTTAATTCCTAAAGGTATATATTCAACCATAGCCTGGAAACCTTTCTTGGAGATTTTGGTCCATGTTGACATAAAATCACACATTTGCTGCAGATATATCAGCTGCGCGTCCATTATTTGAATTCCCTGTTCCATCAGATCCCAAAGGTGCTCAGCTGGATTTAAACCTGGTGACTGTGGAAGCTATTTCAAATCACTGCCATGCTAAATAAACAACTTTGAACTTTGTGGTATAGTGTGTTATCCTGGAAACAGCCATCAGAACATTCACACACTGTGATCACAAAGAAATGGACATGATCAGCAACAATAATCGGTTAGGCTGTTGCATTTAAGCAGTTCTCAGCTAGTATTAAGAGGTCCAAAGTGTGCCATAAAAATAGCTCCTACACCTTTATACCACCATCAGTCTGAACGGTTGGTACAAGGCAGAATGGATCCATGCTGTTTATGGCAAATCTTGACCCCACAATCTGAATGTCTCAGCAGAAATCAAAACACATTAGACCAGGCAACATATTTCCAGTGTTTTGTTGTCCAATTTTGGTGAGCCCAAGCACATCATAGCCTCATTACAGTTCTGCTGCTCGGTTTGAACATCAGCAGGTTGTTTTGATTGTCTCTACATACACTGACTTGCTGATGTGGTAATGGCTTATTATTATATTATATTATATTATATTATATTATATTATATTATATTATACCCACCCACAATTTCGTTGTACCTGTACAATGACAATAAAGGACTATTCTGTTCTATTATTGTGTGAATGCTGTGATGCATTCACACTATTGAGTTTTCTTTTCTTTTATTGAGTTTTCTTTCAGCACACATTAAAAGCTTTGTAGTTTTATTCACTATTTTAACATAGAAGATGAGGAACATGGCTTGTAGGCACTGACTAATAATAAAACATCGTCGTTTTTAATCAGCTTTATGTTCGTCGTGTGTTTCATCCTCCTGTCAGTGTGTACCAAAGGCTATGGCTGACACCACCGAGATTAATAAACCCTTCAGCCCAGAGGAGACCCGGAGGATTGTGCATCATTTGCAGCAGCCCGCAGTTTTCCTGAACATGACCTGCGACTGGCCTGTTCTCCACTGGACAGCAGAGCATCTGTCAAGCTGTCTTGGTGACAGACTCATCCGATTCCGACTTGGGAGAAAAGAGAAGACAAAAGGTAAGTAATTCAATGTGTTGAATGAATTTATCTGTAATTACTCACCTGGATTAAACATTCACAATGAAATTTATGTGACCAAAAAGATAAATTCAGTTCCCACAAGCGCTCCTATCGGGCTTAAACTGTTTTATTAGATCTTGCATATTTATTAAGCTGTAATAAAACATCTCTTTAAAAGTAATATCTTAAAGGAAAACTCAGCTGTTGCTGCATTTAGCTGTTACAAATCTGGGGCTGTGTTGTTTTCTTCCTTTCTAATGATTTCAGATGCTGTAACTAAAATTCAGTTTTTGAACACAAAATGAAAGAAGACAAAAAAAAATACAAGACCTGTTAAAATACAAGATAGTGATGATCTATTTCTATTGAGCAATAACTGATCACAATAAACTGAGGTTTGTTTTAGTTCCAAGTATTGTGTGAGCTTATGGAAACTTGTATAGCATCTCAAACAATTTCCAATGAATTAACATTTATATATTGACATAATCTAATAAAGGATAGCCGGCTGTTTAACGATGTGATTTATAACGTTTCACAGATAAAAAACACACTGAGGGTCTTTGTTTTTGAGCATCTGCTGTATTTTGCCCTCAGTGTGGCTCTGAAACGGCTCCGGTAATGATTCTTTCTCTGATAAACGACAGAGAGTATGCCCTCTGATAAAAGCTGGC